AAGCGATGAATGTGTTGCTCTTTTAAAATTATTTTTTAAGTTGCTTAAGTAAAATCCTTGCTCCAGATTTGTACAACGCGTCTTGTTATGATGCTCTAATTAACACGAAAAAAAAAATCGAAAAAAGAAATGATTTACAGCGGTGCAAAAATAAATCACAAATGTTTCTCAATAAGGGATCAGATCAACAAATATTCTGATTAGTGGCACATGATTAGCGAAATTTTTTAGATTGGTGACGCTAGGACCTTACCACAGCGCTATCGACACTGATTAAAAAATTTAAATTTATGGTAATAGTGATTATAAGCGATTTGTGATTATAACAATATTGGGTGCCTCTATAGAGGCGCGACTATATAGGGTGGGATTATATAAAGGTCAGACTGTATATAATTTTTAAAGTTAATTTACTAATAATTAAAAGAGCAATGTAATACAAACTTTTAATCAACCCACGTAATTTGGCATTTGATTTCAAATAAAATAAGCAACCTTTAAATCTTATGTTTCATGAATGATATGAATGCGTGAGAGTAAAAATCTGAAACTGTATTTAATGCAGTAATGATTTATTATAATCAGTTAAAGGTTTTCTCACGCAGCCTTCCACTATGCAAGATATACATGCGCGTTATTTTGAAATTGTTTAGGCTCTGAAAATTAGCCCTTGTTTCGAAATAACGCACATGAGCGTACTCGAATAACGCGCAGGTGGCGTTATTTCAAGCCTATACGCTATATAAGTTTGTGCAGTCCAACATATTTAAAGTGCAATTAGATATTTTAACTCTATAGTATCTCATAAACGATAATAATGAAACAAAGAAATCAGACCAATCTAAGAATAAGACGCACTTTAATTATTCCATATTAAGGTACAATTGGATAATCTAACTTTACTAGTATTCTTGCAGTTTTTTTATAGTAATTGTATTGTACCAGTCTGCACAAGTATACTAACTTGGAAGAATAAAATAGAAATTTAGAAATAGAACATATGATTGTTCAATCACGTAATACTTTTTGTTACGTTTGCATAGGTCAATATAATAAATATATAATCTAAAATATGCAATAATAATGACAATAAAGCCGAATGGAATAGGTTCGCAAATAATAATTTAAGGCTCAACAATATTTCTGTCCCCAACGTTAAAAAAAAGCGAACTTGAAAATTTGTACTAAATACAGCAGTTTTTAGTAAAATAAAATGGTTTCTCGAATTGATTCCTATTTCTTAGATATAGATACTATAATTAAATTTCAATTAGAAAATAACATTCAAAATCATTCCGAAGTTGAACAAAAGTTTAAAGAGGTGATAATATTAATTAATGAAATAGAAGCTGATGATGAGAAAAAATATGGATTATATAAATACAAATATCATACAACTCATCACAGCTATTTAAACGCGATTGGTGATACGGAAGGTGCTAATAAACAAGAAAAATTAGCGAGAAAATACGAAAGATATACGAGTATTCGTATCGAGGAAACTCAACCCGTATTGTATGTGAATATGGATGCTGAAACATCAAACTCCGTCACTAAAGATTATATGCCCAAAATATTAGAAGAATTAAACTATATTCGTCCAATTTTAAAGGATGAATTGACTGAAATTAATCAGGTGGATGAATTTATTAATGCGGTAGAGCAAATTTTTAAAAAACTTAATAGTGTAACTAAGACCTTTAAAGGTTATCTAGAAGCAATAAATTACGAGACTTATATGCATAAGTTAGTAGATGGTTTAATTACTGGAATAATAGTTCTAAAGAATAATAGCAATATTAAGGGAGGACTCGACAATGAGTCTAAAAATGTTAGTACAGAGTTGATAGACCATTTGAAATGTTTAGAAGTATTCACACACGACATAGCATACTCAAAAAGAACAGAATTTATTTCATTTTTGTTGGATTCTTCAAATAAAATAGAAATCTTATTTAAAGACGTTATAAATACAGAAGAAGAGATTAATAGACGTGCTAAAGTTCTTAGTTCATTTTTTCACCCAGATAAAACAAAAAATCCAAAAAGTCCATATGTGCTTCGAGAAAAACATAAAAGTCAAGGAGATGAGATATTCAAACTTATGTTGGGATTTAAAGAACATTTATTAAATTATTTGAGAAATACCTTAGAACTAGAGAACTATGAAAAATGCGGAAATGAACATTGGAAAATTACTATTGATTATCATAACGCATCAAAAGGGCAATGGTACAAACTAAAAATGTTAAAAGAGGAGGAACTTAAAGAATTCTCTTCCGAGTCATTAGAGGATAATAGCATGTACGCGGGAAAATTAGCTTATTATCAATATCGAGCTGCATGCAAAATTGCGGATAGAACTAACCTGTTAAAAAAACAGGTAAAATTGCGAGGATATATGGCTTTGTGTTTATATTTTACAAACAAATTTCTAGAAGCCCAATTATATGCTTTTGCGGCAATGCTTTTGCAAGTTAAGAATTCAAGCAATTTCACACAACATGAATTTGATGAAGTAAAAAAAATAATAGATAAAGTTAACAGCAGAAAAGGAGAGAGAGAAAAGAACAAAGAAGATGTGTCTTCCGACTTGAATGCTGATATTAAATTCGAAAGTGACTTTGATAATGCAATGGCTTTAATAAGAAAAAATGATAAAGAGATCTCTCTCAATAATAAAGAGATTATTCAGAATTCGATCAATAAAAATTTAATTAATACGGTTATTAAAATGCTTGTTAGGGCAGAACGTGACTTGGTTTGTTATGAAACATCAAATAAAGAGATTTTACATACAATTAAACACGCAAAAACATATAAGGATGACGGTGTTGCATTTACGGCAAGTGGAGCAGTAGTAGGAACATCAACATTGTTATTTTATGGAGCGGCATTTGCGACTAGAATTATTTCTATGGCTGGGCCAGCTGGGTTATTTGCAGGTTCAACCTGTCTTCTTGTAGGGTTTGGTTATGGTTATTATTTGAAAAGTAAAGGTGAAAAGATGTTTAAAGAGCCAAGGATTCGAGAAAAGCTCAATAAAATCATAAAGGAAGCGTTAAAAGCATATGATAATGAAAAATATCAAGAGTTTATCAACGTGCTTTCTGAGGAATATGATGAAAACAAACGCCTCTTTAATTGCGATGAAGCCGGTATTGTAAGAATAGAAACAGATATAATAGATACACTTAAAATGCATGCTTTCAGAGCGGACGGTATTGCATATCTACTAGTTGTGCTTGGGGAAGTTTTAGGTAGTGGAAAAATAAAAATCGAAAGTGCCACATATGCAGATTTAACAGCCTATGCAAAAAATTTTTTTAAACTGGCGCTGAGTGACAAACTTGTAAAGGAGGCAAGAGAATTAGATGAACGCACCAGCAAATTTCGACAGACTAATGAAGGGAGCTTGGGGAGATATATTAAAAGTGCTTGGGGTATAGTTAAAGATTTTATGTCATCGGAGGAGCGTACAAGATTGGCTCAAGAATATCTACAAGACTCTCAAGAAATGCCCTTTTTTTCAAGATTGGAAGAAATACGGAATACCGCAAAGATCAATATTGCAATTCTTAATATACTAGAACATGATGAAGGCGCATATAAAAAGGCAAAAAAAACTGTTGAAGAAGTTCGAAAATCTGTAAAAGAAAACCATCACTTTGTTAACAAAGCCAAATTACGCCTAGAAGTCTTGGAAGATTTTTTGTGGGTTATTAATGAAGATGATCTGTCTGATATTGAAGAAGATCTATCTGATATTAATGACCTATCTGATATTAATGATATTAATGATATTAATAAATCCTTATACAAATTGGATGATAAATATATTAATTATTTGAAAGACCAACGGTCTTTCAACAAAAATAAATATTATGAAGCAGTTTACTTTGAACGTTTGGCTGAAAAAGAAGCCAAAATTAACAAGTTAAATAGTTTACGCTATTGGCAATCTGCTCAAGAGAATTATGGTATTGCGCGTGGAATAGATCCTAATAATTCGACTTACTCCCTTGGATATGCAAGATGTCTACTAAAATTATCTAAATATACTCAAATTATCAAACTTTCTGATACATGTCCAACATTAAATTCTTTATCAGAATATTTGCATTTTCGTAGTATAGCTTATTTTAAGCAGAAAAATTATAAAGACTCTATGTCATGCAATACTGAGGCGCTAAATTTGGATCCTGGAAATAATTCGGCTGCTAAACATGGAGAACTTATCAAAAAATTAAATTTAAATAATATAGTCGAGCAACGCATTGACCACTATAAAAAAAAGTTAATATATGAAACAGATTATTTGAAAAATTCTCGCAATAATGAGCGCTCTGTCTATAATATTTTATCTATTGATGGAGGAGGAATACGAGGGATATTGCCTGCATTATGGCTTAGTGAGATAGAATATCGCACTCGTAGACCCATTTCTCACCTATTTAATATGATAGCCGGAACATCGAGTGGTGGGATCATTGCTGCTGGATTATCAGCACCACAGTTCAAACTTATCTACAGGGCAGTTGATCATATCGAATATAAATATTCAAATTTAATCCCAATATTTCCAGCTTCGGATTTATTGAACATTTACAAGAACGAACCCAAAAATTTATTCACTACATCAACATCAGATAAGTGTACAAATGGGGGCCGTTCTGCTATGTTTAAAAAACATTTTGAAGAGACAAGACTAAGCCAATCTCTTAATGAATTGGTTATTACTGCTGTAAATGAAAATTACTCGCATTTATTTACCCGCTATGATGCCTTTAAAAATAAAAAGAATATCGAGATAAATAACACATTCGTTGACATATTAATGGCAACAACAGCTGCGCCTATAGGTGGAGGAATGCACCTTACTAACCCAGCATCAACTGCTTATAATGAGGCAATCCGATATAATGTGCTAGAAAAAAAGATTTCCGTGCTTTCTCTAGGTACAGGATGTTATTTACCAGATCCTTCCAATCCTGATCAATATAATTCACTTTTTTGGGCACAAAACCTTCCTCAATTCATGACATCTGCACAAGAAAGTAACACGGATCGTGAAATGTACACTAAGTTAAAAAATCGTTATCAACGATGGCAAGTCTTTTTTGAGGAGCCTATAGGATTAGATGACCATGAAAGTATTCCTAATCTTCTAGAGTTAGGCTATCAATACATAGAAGAGCTTGATTGTTCCGATGAAAATCCTATTAATAAGTTAGTAGAGTCTTTTGATCACTAGTATTTTTTCTGAATTTTCTATATTTCATGTGCCACATTATTATATATGAGAATCTTATTATATAGTTATTTTGCTATATGAAATTTGACACTTTAGAATCGATTCAAAAATCGATGATCAAATCTAAATTTTTGCCAACGTAATTGTAACTTTTTATTAGAATTACTATGAAGTGTTAAAAATGTTCATCACTGACACATTCATGAACATTTTGGCCCTGGATATAACGAATTTTTTCTGAACACATTGTATAATGAACTTTTTTCTAAAATATCATGTGGGTTTATTAGGCCATATAAATAAAATTATTCGTTTCTCATCAATATAAATAATAAAAAGTGACCCGGCCGCCCGGGAAAAAAATCCCTTTTCTAAAATATGATTGGTTAAAAAATATTTTTTTTTTTCACCTGGTAAAACATTTATAAATTTTTTTTTCTCTTTCATAATATTTATATGACCCGGCCGGTGATGAGAAACGAATAATTTTATTTATATAGCCTTATAGTTATCATAGATTTTGCTTTTTTTTTTTTTTTTTTTTTTTTTTTTTGTATAATTATTTTTTTATATATAATTATTTTTTTATATATAATTATTTTTTTATATATACACGATGTACATGTTATGTTCTATAATAAAATTCAACTTATTTAAACGTTTAGAGCTTACTTTCGAAACAGATACTTAATCCATATTGCTTCGCCTAAATTACTTAATAAACACTATTTATTTCATTCCCGACAGCTTATTTCATAGAAGTTTATTCACCAATAACCCATTTCACATATAAGTTTTTTGTAATTTGCACCAAGCAATTAAAGCAGAATTCTTGCAAGTGCCTGCTATAGAAGTAGAAAGATTGCGGAGCACTCAATGGTCTAATCAAAACTATAGTCAGACCTCCCTAAATGCACGTCGTCGGGACCAGCTCTAGAGCGTGCATTTATGGAGGGTTGCAATTAGAGAACACTAATAAACCCATAATGCTACTATTATCATGTGGCTTTAGCAGGCTATAAATGATGGATTTGATCGGCTAACAACCACGTGGTTGCATTTATGAGGGAGTCTTTATAAGTGGGCCAGATAATTAGCGTGCAATTGCGGAATAAAGAACGTTGTGAGGGGCTAAATCGAACTCTAATGTCGAAATATGGCCTCACGGATATCGACTAAGGCTAATCTAATCCAAATCAACAAACTATAACCACTAAAACTACCAAACTCTATCTAGACCCTAATGGTGGAAGGCACGAAAGAGAGCGTGGAAAGACTTGGTCCGAGTTATTAGGGCCAAATAGAGCTCAAGACTACGTCACGAGGCTCTAATTCAAGGTCACGGGGTTACAAGATAGTTTATTTATCGGGGAATTAAGAAAACGAATGTATGAATTATATGCGATAACTTGTGTTAATTAAAAACTCATTACTTGAGATATATTTTATTCAAGGCGAACTCTGAAGCCTTATATACATTATATGGCTGCAATATGATTCGCTAGTTCTATCTAACATATATAATCTATATAACTTATCTAAGGCCACGCAAAGTTAATTTTTCGTTTTGCATTACATGGATTTCAAAATCAACGGTCGGTCGGTCGGATTTTTTTTTTTTAAAAAAAAAAAATTTACAGTGATTAATAGACTCATGTTCATATTTAAGGCCATGCATAGGAATCAGAAAATTGGGTCGGCAATCGAATTTTTTTTATCAGTTCTATCAGACAATTCCGGAAAATAAGGTCTTCATCGGGTGGTACCGGATTAATTTATGGGGAAAAATTAAATGGCAAAAATAGAACAATTGGCACAAAAAAAATCTCGAAAAATTGAAAAAATGGGTTGGCGGGTAATGCAAAACGAGAAATTTACTTTGTGTGGCCTAACATATATAATAGATATAACTTATCTAACGGATATAACAGATATAACAGATATAACGTATCTAATAGATCCAACATATCTGACGGATCTGACAGATCCGACAGATCTGATAGATCTAACAGATCTTTTCCGACCCACCTCGATCTACTGCGCCAAAAAAGTATTTTGTGCCACAATTCACCCTTTCACAAGTGCATTTATCTATAAGTCGCTAGTCTTCTATTGTGCATTTAGAAGTGTCGCATTTAGGGGGTTGTACTTAGGGAGGTCTGACTGTATATTATGATGTCATAATTCAAGAAAATAGTTTGGGCAGCAACCCTAAATGAAGTAGAACAGACTTGGGGCGTTCTCAAGCATCTCAATTAATTGGCCAAAGTATCAATCGAGCTTGTCATTAAGATAAGTAAGGTAGTTTATTATGTATGTGAAAGAAAATTTTTAAATCACTTTTTGCTTTATTTATTTGATAGTTTATTAAACAAACTGTCGAATCTGTAAAGTAAAAAGATGCTTTACATACGAATAAGAACCGGTAAGTTTTTCGAATTATCCCGATCGTAAAATCCCGAAGGGTGATTTTCCTAGCAAAGATCTCATTTAGTTACGTACTTATTTCTATTATATAAGAGATACTTATTTTCGGGTGTATATAAATTGTAGGGGTGCTTACTTTCGAAGGATGCTTATTTTCGGAGGAATATGGTAATTATAATAGATGATCTTGAGATTTATTTCGTTTAATTTCGCTTGCGTAACTATTAAAATATGAATTCCTTCCATTTTTTGCAACTTATGATATAAATATAGCTTGATGGCTTGCATTTTTATTTAGGGAGAAAAAATTTATTTGTGTTTAAGAAGAGCTCACCACAATACGAGCAGTTTTAATATTCCTTGTACTACTAACCGTTTTGTCACTGCATACAGTACTTCGCACCACTTAAGAACACCCAGTGATTATCACACCACGTGAAAGAATGCAATGACGTCATTAGCTTACTAGCATTAACAAAATCGGCCTAAACTAACTCTCACCTAACCCTAACACTAGTCCTAACTTAAGCCGAGCATATGACGTGATGATCATAAAGATGCACCCCTACTTTCTGTGCCAGGTTATGTCGATCACGATCGACAAAATTAAGAAAAAAGTTTTTCTATCTCAAACTTTTACCTATGAAACGGCTTTTAATAAAAAAAAATTCCTCTCATAATTTTGGTAATAAATCTTACTTTAAATTCTCATCTAACCGTAATCTAAACCAACTTAATGCTAACCTCAAAATTAGGCCGATGTCGGCCAACGATCGACATAACCTAGCACAGAAAGTAGGAGTGCCATAAAGATTCCTGTTCGCGAAACCTGATTTTTAATTTTTTTCAATATATGTGATAATTTTTGTAAATAGTAAAAAAAAAAAAAAAAAAAGATACGTTACATGTATGACTAGTGATGTGCCGCGTACAGTACTATACGTACAGTACTGTACGTACTGTACGCTAAAATTTTTGCCGATCACTTGT